TTTATTCTTGAAGGTTATGAAGCCAGCTTTAGTTTTAACAGGAATAATTTATGTAATTTCCATCTCTTTTTTTTTTTTTTCTGAGGCAGGGTTTGTCTGTGTAGTCTTGGCTATTCTGGACTCTCCTCTTTGTAGACCAGGCTGGCCTTGAACTCAGAGATCCGCCTGCTTCTGCCATCCTGCCTGTAATCTGCTGGGATCACAGGTGTGGGCCACTGCTCCCTGCTGTACCTTCCATCTTTTCATACATTGGAATAGTCTTTCTTTTCCTTAAATGTTTATTTATCTTTATCTTCCATACGGGAATGCTTTGCCTGCGTGTATGTGCGCATGTCTGTGCGCCATGTGTGCCGGCCCACAGAGGCCGGAAGAGGCATCAGATCCCCTGAAACTGCAGTGACAGATGGCAGTGAGTGGCCATGTGGGTGCTGGGAAGGGAACCTAGCTCCTCTACCAGGGCAATGAGCACTCTTGGCGACTTAGCCATCCCCTTAGGCCCTAGTTTACTGTGATTGGGTGTGTGTGTGTGTGTGTGTGTGTGTGTGTGTGTGTGTGTATAAAGGTGCTCATGGAGACCAGAAGAGGGTATCAGATCCCTCTGGAGTCACCTGTGGTTGTGAGCTGCCCAGTATGTATGCTGGAAACCCAATTCTGTCCCTGTACAAGGGCACAGCATGATCTTAACCGCCGAGCCATCTCTCCAGCCTCCAGGCTAGAATATTTTAGGTAGCAATGGAAGTATTTTCTTCTCTCAGACTGTCATAAACTCCGTCCTGGGAGTCATGGGAAATTAGACTAGCTAGTGATTTATGATTCTATGTCAAGGAGTTAGCTATCAATTTTATGACAATATGCTATTTACTTTCTAATTCATTAATTCACATTTTTTATTTCGTTAACCACATACTTTGGTTTGCCCATGATTGTCTTGTTCTTACATTTATAATTTTTAAAAGAATTTTATTAACTGACTGAGACTGTATGGGAGAGGGGGTTGGTGAATGTGTGCGTTCTGCTGTGTGTGGAGGTCGGAGGACAATCCCATAGCTTTGGTTCTCTTCTTCCACCTTTACATGGCTTTGGGGAAGGAACACAGGTTGCCGGGCTTGGGTGGCAAGGACCTTTATCTGCTGAGCTATGTGGCTGATCTTGTATTTCTAATTCCTTCAATTAAACAATTGATTGGTCACTCAAAAAATCTTGAAAAAAAAAACAAACCTTGTCAATTGGATTTAGTAACAGATTTAAAATACTCAGTGTATCATAGATGTATCCTAAAATGTCAGAATAGTGGCATGTTAGGAAATCTATTTAGGTGAAAAAAAAAAAGATTTTAAAAGCATAATTATCTCAATGGCTGTGAAAATACTTGTGAAAAAGCTGATAAAAGTAGACGGAAATCTTAATTTATTCTCTTCACTGATAAAAATGTTTCCCCATGAATTTTCCTCTGATTACAGCATTGGCTGCATCATATATGCTAGTCTCAGCTCGTTCTATTCAAGCTTTCCCCATCAGTGTTTTCTCTATGCGTGTATATCCACCTGCCTACCTGCTTATGCATATGTGTATGTATGTATGTGTGTATGTATGCGCGTGTGTATGTGTGTGTGTCTGCATGTATTCATATATATGTGT